CTGCTTCAGCACTTACAGCTAATGAGGAGGAAATGGAGAAGGAGCTTGAGGTGCCTGCTCCTAAACCGCAACAAGTGGTGAAAGAGTATGTACCGCAGCTTCCCTTTCCTACTCGGTTGCACAAAGACCGACTGAAGACCGAGTTTGCCAAGTTCATGGCAATGCTGAAGCAGGTAAACATAAGCATGCCCTTCGTGGAGGCATTATTGAAGATGCCCAAGTATGCCAAGTTCATGAAGGATCTCCTCACCAACAAGAGGAAGCTTGGGGAGCTGTCAACGGTGATGCTTAACGAGGAGTATTCTGGCATCCTTTGTTGTCTTTTGCTAGGGGAACAGGCATCACAGGATGTGCAGCTGGAGGAGCAGCTCGCGGAGCTAGACGAGGCCGTGATCGAGGGACGAGAGAAACCATTCAAGTCGATCCCTATCTCGCCCCGGATCGCTACATCATTGGAGGAGCCGCCAGAGCTGGAGTTTAAGCCTCTCACCTGGGGTATGCATTTCTCCGGGAGGGGAATAAGCTCCCGGTCATTATTAGCTCGGATCTGACACCCGAGCAAAAGAGCAGGCTGGTGGCTCTACTGCAGAAGTATGCCCGGGCCATGGCGTGGAAGATAACAGATATAAGAGGCATTAGCCCATCCTTCTGCTCTCACAGAATTCTGATGGAGGATGAGGTTAAGCCAGTCAGGCAGCCACAGCGGAGATTGTCTCCCAATTTGGAGGCAGTAGTCTGCCAGAGATTGTGAAGCTCATGGATGCAGGGATCGTCTTTGCTATATCTGATAGCAAGTGGGTCAGTCCCACTCAGGTGGTCCCGAAGAAAGGCGGGATGACTGTGGTCCCGAATGAGAAGAACGAGATGATCCCGATGCGGACCGTGACCGGCTGGCGAGTCTGCATCGATTACCGGCGCCTGAACGACGCCACAAGGAAAGACCATTTTCCCCTACCTTTCATTGATCAGATGCTGGAGAGGTTGGCTGGCCATGAGTTTTATTACTTCCTGGATGGCATGTTTGGTTATTTCTAGATTCCTATTGCACTAGAGGATCAGGCGAAGACCACATTCACTTGCCCCTTTGGTACCTTTGCTTACTAGAGGATTCCATTCGGGCTGTGTAATGCACCGGCGACCTTCCAGAGATGCATGCTGGCGATCTTCGAACTACTGGTCGGAGAGATCATGGAAGTCTTCATATGATGACTTCTCGGTTTATGGAGACTCCTTCACTCATTGTCTCCATAACCTGGAACTCGTTCTGAAGAGGTGCGAGGAGACTAATCTGTTACTCAGCTGGGAGAAGTGCCACTTTATGGTCCATGAGGGGATTGTGCTCGGGCACAAGATCTCCAAGCAGGGGATTAAGGTGGATCGCGCGAAGATTGAGACGATCAGTCAGCTACCTCCTCCCATTTCTGTGAAGGGGATTCACATCTTCCTGGGTCATGCAGGCTTTTACCGGCGCTTCATTAAAGATTTCTCGAAGATTGCCCTACCTCTAACCAAGCTGTTGGAGAAGGATGCACCATTCCAGTTCACCCTGAGTGCACAGCTGCATTCGAGACATTGAAGGAGAAGCTTACCCATGCACCAATCATGGTGACTCCTGACTGGTCTCTACCCTTTGAGCTGATGTGCGATGCGAGTGACTATGCAGTCGAAGCCATTCTGGGTCAGAGACGCGAGAAGCACTTCCAGCCCATCTACTACGCGTCGAAGACCTTGAACGATGCACAGGATAATTACACCACCACTGAGAAGGAGCTCCTCGATGTGGTGTATGCATTTGATAAGTTCCGACCATATGTGGTACTCTCCCATGTGGTGGTCTTCACAGATCACTCGGCGATTCGCTACCTGATGAGCAAGGCTGATGCAAAGCCTAGGCTCATCCGCTGGATCCTGCTTCTGCAGGAATTCGATGTAGAGATCCTAGACAATAAGGGAGCCGAGAATGTTGCTGCAGATCATCTTTCATGGTTGGAAGCCCCTCTGGTGGACAATTTCGTGGAAGAGATAGATGACTCCTTCCCGGGTGCGATTGCTGGCAATGACATTGGTGGACAGCGTGGCCCCTTGGTATTCTGACTTTGCCAATTATCTGGTAGGCAAGCAGCTACCAAAGGGGATGGCCACTCATGCAAAGCGCAAGTTCTTCTCCGACCTGAAGCATTACTTCTGGGAGGATCCTTACCTCTTCAAGATCGGAGCAGATGGCGTGATCCGGCGCTGCGTCATGGAGCACGAGATGGGAGATATCCTATCTCAATGCCACGAGGGACCTACTGGAGGTCACCATGGAGGAAACCACACGGCGCGGAAGGTGCTACAGTGGGACTTCTATTGGCCCTCGCTCTTCAAGGATGCAGACACCTTTGCACGACAATGCGACCGCTGCCAAAGGTCAGGTAACATTTCTTCCCAGGATGAGATGCTCCAACATATTTCTGTCATTTCTGAAATTTTTTATGTTTTGGGCATCGATTTCATGGGCCCATTCCCTCCATCCTTTGGCAATTTGTACATACTGGTTGCAGTGGACTACGTCTCGAGGTGAACAGACCCGTCTTGCATCATTGGTGGGCATGGCTTGACTAAACTCCTCTCTCGCTATGGTGTTAAGCATCAGGTGTCGGTGGCTTACCATCCCCAGTCAAATGGGAAAGCCGAGCTGTCGAACCGGGAGCTTAAAAGAATAATTGAAAAGACGGTGGATCAGTCCCGCAAGGATTGATCCACCAAGCTTGATGATGCTCTTTGGGCATATAGGACAGCCTATAAAAAACCCGATTGGCACTTTCCCCTATAGGCTTGTCTATGGAAAGGCATGTCATTTGCTAGTAGAGCTAGAGCACAAGGCCTTCTGGGCCCTTAAACTGCTAAACCTGGATTTGAGTGTTGCAGGTACTGAACATAAGCTGCAGCTGCTGGAGTTGGAGGAATGGTGTTACCATGCCTACGAGAACACCCTGCTCTACAAAGAGCAAACCAAGCGTCTCCATGACGCTCGGTTGAGGGGCTGGAAGGAGTTTCAGGTAGGTGATCGTGTTCTGCTCTTCAATGCACGCTTGAAACTCTTCCCGGGCAAGCTATGTTTGAGGTGGTCAGGACCCTTCACGGTCACCCAAGTATTCCCGCACGGGGCGGTGGAGATCAGCAATGCTCAAACTGAGCCATTCATGGTAAATGGCCACCTCCTAAAATTGTACTTGGGAGGTGCTGTCGAGCGCGCAGAACTGGTGATCAAGCTCGAGGACCCTTAGTTCCTCTACTGGCGTCCAGCTAAAAGACAGTAAAGAAGCGCTTGTGGGGAGGCAACCCCACCACGGTTTGCATTTCTGCCCTTTTTTCCCTTTTCGTTTTTGACGGTTTTTGAGTATGTCTGGAGTCTTTCTGGAATATTTTTCGTGCCCCGGATGGTCTGTTTTTGTCTGTGGTAGTGTCTATTTTCGAGCCGGGGCACGAATGGTTTTGGCTGTCCGAAATTGCGGTTTAAAAATTGGAGAAAAGGGCTCTTGGCAGTGTAATTACGGGCAAGGGGGGGGACCAATTACGATCGTATTTGTATGCCCCCTGCCCGTAATTCCATCAGAAGAGGAGAGAAGCCTCGGCAGTGCAATTAAGGGCAGGATCAGACCAATTACAGTCGTAAACCTGCCTGTAATTAGCATAGGGGGGACATTGTTCGCGGCATTGCATTTACGGGCTGGCCAGGGGCAATTACGGTCATAATTCAGCCCGTAATGATACAACAATGAGCGAACCCTTGCTGCGGTCTCTAATTTCCAAGCGCAAGAAGGTTTGGATTGGATGTGTTAGCCACGAAGGACGTCGGCCTATTGCACCTTCGGCGAAGTCTTTGTTTGCGTGAAAAGACGCAGGTGTGGAAGGCGAATATAAGTCTGTTGAAGTCTCATTACCATTCTTCGGCTTACTCTGGAGCTACCCTGTGCGGCGCCTATGGTCTAGAAACGGTTAGTCCTTAAATTATCAAGCGAGTAGTGATATTCTGAAGTGAGATATATGAGATCTTACTGTAATATATATATATATATATATATATGGTTATGTCTTCGGTGCACTCACTTTTTTGGGTGCATTCAATGCACCCGCCTTATAATCATCATTCTGAGCAGGCGATTCATGTGAAAACGATGTCAATCATCACTTGTGGTATGATGAACAAGAACCACATGAATTTGTACAAAAATCATTCAAGATTCACTTTAATTTGAATGATTTAGGGTTTAGGAATTTAGGGTTAGGGTTAGGGTTTACAATTTGGGATTTTGGGTTGAGATTCAAAATTGAAGGTTAATAGGTTAGGGTAATGGGTTGATTAGTTGGGATTCTATGTTATATTATCATATTAGACTAATACAACCCATTAAATTTCAAAATTTCATGTATTATGACCACTTTTAGAGGTGGGTGCACTGAATGCACCCAAAAAAGTGAGTGCACCGAAGTAGCCACCTATATGGTTATATATATATATATATATGGTGCCTTCTACGGTACCCCGGGTGAAATCCGGGGTACCGCATACCTTGAGTATGAAAACGCTATCCAGACCTCGAATTAGCAGGATGTTTGGGCATGATACTATACCCTAACCCTTAATGAGTGAACCCTAGGTCCTAATTATCTAAATCATAAACTCTAAACCCTAAGATGGTTCATTCATTTTTTGCCTATATTTGGACGAATCACAACCGTCGATTATTGTTTCTAATTAAATTGATCTTGGGGTATAAGATTTAGAGAATTAAGACCTAGATTTTGATCTTTAAGGGTTAGAGTATAGTATCATGTCCGAAAGATCAGTCAACTCAAGGTCTGGATAGCGTTTTCATACTCAAGGTATGCGGTACCCCGGATTTCACCCTGGGTACCATAGAACTCCCCATATATATATATATATACATATATGGGTCAGACTAGTGTACGCCAGGCGTATACTATAGACCATGAATTAAATCGAGTTTGGGGTATGATACTATACCCTAACCTCTAATGGATAAACCCTAGGCACCAATTTTCTAAACCCCAACCCGAAGTATGATTTAATGAAAAACAAAAATTGACCGTTGAGATCGGTCGGAGCTCATCTAACTACATCTAACGGCTAGATCACCTGACGTATACTATACGTCTGGCATACACCAGTCATCACCATATATATATATATATATATATGGAAACGACTCGTATGCGTCAGACACATGTCAGACACATACTATGTGACAAGATTCTCTACCGTATTTCTAATCTAACGGTCATTATAAATTATATTAAAATTAGTAATAATAATTACTACTTGCACCCCTTAAATAATTATATGTGCTATGTAGCCCCCCAATAATAATTTGCGTTTTATTTTCTCACATGATACCTATTCGTTTTTGTGAGAACTCAGATGATACCTTATTTCTTCTAGATCTTTTAATGAACACCAAAAAATTATACAATTGATAAAATAAAGTTCCATTAAAAGGTTGCCCCAATTCGACAATCCTAAACCACCATCATCATACCACCATCATCGTCATTACGACAACTCTTTCTCGATATCAATTTATCGGTCTACTTCTCTGTTCTCTTCTCGTTCCATTGAATCGGTACGGCGATGGAAAACCTAATTTGCGATTGTTCTTCTTCGTCTTCTAAGGACGCTAATAATCTTAGAGATGCTCTTAAGTACTCAGCTCAGATGCTTTCCGAGCTCCGGACGTCGAAGCTGTCGCCTCACAAGTACTACGAGATCTGTAATTCATTCGCTCTCTGAACTCTCTTCAAACTCAGAACTCTGATTTTGTTTCATCGAACCGAAGAAAGTTTAGACACTGATTGAACATTATTGGCGAGGATTTGCAGATATGCGAGCGTTTGATGAGATGAGGAAGCTGGAGATGTTCTTCAAGGACGAGAGCAGGCATGGAGTTTCGGTCGTCGATTTGTATGAGCTTGTACACCACGCAGGCAACATATTGCCTAGACTGTAAGTTCTTACTTACCAGTGCCTGTGTTGGGGTAATTCAACTGTTGAAGCTCGTCTTAGAATAAATTTGAATTTCGCGAGCGCTAGTATAGTGGATTGTGAAGCTGAAACGTGGTATTCGTTACCAGGTATCTACTCTGTACGGTTGGATCAGTGTATATGAAAACAAAGGAAGCTCCGCCCAAAGACGTGCTTAAGGATCTTGTGGAAATGTGTAAAGGCGTTCAGCATCCAGTTCGTGGATTGTTTCTTAGAAGTTACCTCGTTCAAGTTAGTAGGGACAAGTTGCCTGATAATTGGGAATTTGGGGGGCTAGGGAAGACGACGATACATGAAAAAACGGCATCGTTTTGTGCTCGTCTCTTAATCGAAAGTGGGCTGGAGAACGGCGTCGTTCTATAGGTGTAGCTGAAAACAAAAAATACTTGTAATGGTATGAGGGTCGAACCAGCGTCCTGGTCATTACCATGGGCATTCTTCACCATTCATGCTGAACAAGGATTTTGATTCAATATACTTCCACTGTTATATTTATAATATAAAATGAGTTCTTGTAAAATTAAAACACAAAACTAAACTAAGCAGACCTTTTGTACCAGGCCCAATAGGGCTTAGTCGAGCAGATCGGCGGCTGCCCCTGCTCTCCCTTTGTCTCTTTAACAATAATCAATTGTAAAAAATAAAATAAAACAGAGAACAATAATGGCAAAGTTGAAAATTGGAAGACTACTTACCACCAAATCTACCAAACGATTTATCTTCTGCTTTTTCTCCCCTCCCCATGCACTGCCTTCTCGGTTTTCCTTCAAACTGATCGGACACATACTAAACCGCCCTCATCCTCCCTCCGCCTCCGTTGCATGTCTCCGCCTCCGCCCGTCAAGCAACCGCTGGTCGCTCAGTAGCAGTCTCCTCCTCCGGGCCATCATCGTCGCCTGCCGCCTCCGCCGCCGATTCGCTATAGCGGTTGTGGGAAGAAGAGCGGAGGAAAGTCGCCCGGAGTAACCACGTCGGTTGTGGGAAGAAAAGCGGGCCACCATCGTCGCCTGCCACCTCCGCCGCTGATTCGCTCTAGCGTTTGTGGGAAGAAGAGCGGAGGAAAGTCGTCAGGACTAACCACGTCGGTTGTGGGAAGAAGAGCGGGCCACCATCGTCGCTTGCAACCTCCGTCGCTGATTCGTTCCCGATCTGCTCGACTAACCACACGGTGTCGCCGGCCACGTTTCCACCGTCGCAGGTAATTTTCTTTAATTGATTGTTAACTATTTGGTACGTTCTATTAGAATAGTTGATCATGATGTGCTCTTATACTCCTGTTGAACATCCACAGTACGTGCAAGAACAGAAATTGAGTAGGGTTTCCGTGCTGTAATTTTCTGACAATGGATTATATATCGCAATGGTACCCGTAAGTATTGTTTACCAACTAATCGTTACGACAGTCTACTCCGCTTCCTATTCCTTTTGTCAGCCATCACTAACAGTTTTATTTATAGCGACTTTATGGTTGAGCCTGGTTTCGTTGCAAAGCCGAAGTATGAGGAAGCAGTATCTATGTCTATTTTGTCGGATTCAATCGAGCTTGCATTGGTGCAAGAGAATGGTGACGATGAGGTTTTTGTCATTCATCCTTCTCGATCGCGTTTGCAGTTATTGTGTTTGTTAATGCTTGTTAATTTGTTTTTTAAATTCATTTTCCTGTTTTATATACCAGGGCACTTCTTACCTCATCTCCGGACGTGTCGGCGAGGTGAAGACATCCTGGTCTGCTGAATGTAGAGTTCATTTGATCCACCTAACTATCGAGGATGATTATTTGGATCTTGAGGTTGTTTTCCCATCGACAAACTTGCGCAAAATCGTTTCAGATGTAGTAAGTGATAAAGATATGGCCAATGCCGATTTCGTTACCCTTATCAACTTGCTTGGTGGAAACTCTTATGAGTTTATGATCGCATTGGGTCCTTGGAACAATGTGTCGAGTTATTTTGAGCTGTTATTGGTAAAATTATTTTTTCCTCCCGGAAACTGAATGCCATTTCAGCAATGTAAATAGAATCTACTAAAGTTTCTTAGTGTTCGCCTTAATATTATTTCTCTTGTTATGAAAGTGTACTAAGTGTGTGAACACAATGCTTTTTTGTACGGGTTCTGCCCTTCTTAATGAATTGTTGGTCGTATCTTTCTAGACTTATCGAAACATTTCTCAATTACTTATAAACGGGATCAGTTGCCTAATGAAAAGTAACGAAAAAAATTCAGGTTAATTTGGTTTAAATTACTGTATCATCAACATACCACACCCCAATTCGACTATCCAAAATGCCATTATCTGTTCACCCAAGCTACCCCATAGCTAACCATTTATCTCACCAACAGCCATCAAAACCCAACAACCATCAAAACCATGGTTATCTCCAATTACTGCCCAGGGAAGACGATGAGACATGACAAACGTTGTCGTTTGTGCTTGCTGCTAAAGCGAGAGTGTCCCCAGGACGACGTCGTTCCACAAGCGTAGCTGAAACATGATTACATGGATGTGGGTAAAAGAAATAAGACAATATGGAGAATCGAACAGGCAACCTTGCGATGATAATAGCAAATCTTAACCATCAATGCTGTACAGGTATTTTGATGGTTTAAGTGTACACGTTTTGTATACATATGTTGTAACAATTAAACATAATAACAAAAATAATTAAGGAAGTAAAGCAAAATAAATGAAGACGACGACAATTTTTGTATAGAAGTCAATGGCTTTACCGTGACTATATTATATGAAAAAGCTATCTACATGTGCATACCATGCATTTGGACAATAAACCTTCCATACTACTTGTAGACACCAGTTTTTGTCCTGGTTAAAACATTTTTAATAAAAATGTTAATTAGTTTCAATTTAAGGTTTGCAATAGCAAATCTTTAATGGTCTTCTAACTAAAACCTATTTGTAGTGTTTGGGAAATGTATTGGTTATCATAACTGAATAAGATTAGCAATAGCAAATCTTATTTGGTACAATTTGGATTATTGAGATTAGCAATAGCAAATCTTAATCGATACAATTTGATAGTGAGGGCATGCTTCAGTTAGACGATCTAGTTTTAAATCGAAGGAGTTAGGCTATGGAATGAATACTTGTATGATTCTCTACCGTAGATCTAATCTAACGGTCATTATAAATTATAGGCAAAATACACTTGCATAGAAAAAACTTCCACCTTTGTGCCACTTATAGCCACATTTGGCGAAATACCACTAATAGCCACTTTTGAAAGATGTTGCGTAGGGGTGTACATGGGTCGGGTGGTCCGGGTTTAGCCATTTTATCACCCAACCCATGCACTACGGTTTGGAAAATATCAAACCCAAACCCTGAACCCTGAACCCTAAACCCTAAACCCTAAAACCTAAACCCTAAACCCTAAAACCCTAAACCACTAAACCCTAAACCCTAAAACCCTAAACCCTAAACCCGGGTTGGGTCGGGTTCTATGGGTTGTGTAATCCAAAATCCAAACCCAACCCAAAAGAGGCGGGTTGTACAAAACAAAACCCTCACCCAACCCAAAATCTTTGTTTTAGCGATAAATACGGGTGGATTGGGTCGGTTTGGACGGGTGGGTCGGTTTGCGGGTATGTTTGTTCACCCCTAATGTTGCGTGGCAGATATAGCCATTTTCGTTAGAAATAATGACGGCGTTAATAACTCCGTCAACTTATTTGACGGTTCGCTGACGAGGCGCCAAATCATCAACTACGTCAACGACAACAAAGCAAAAATTGACACGTCATCTTAATAATTTATTTATTATTAAAAAATTTAAAACTTTCCCCATCTACCTGATCGCACGAGGCTACCAAAATTCCCCATCTATTTCAAGAAAACGAAATTAGGGCTTCCTTCTTCTCCATCTCTTTCTAGAAAACGAAATTAGGGTTCTTCCCAAATTTCCTCTTCCCCACGAAGGAGATACATGAAGCTGATCGATGCTTACTCCTCTTCCCCAAATCTTCTTCTAGTTTCTGAACGACTCGGCGCTTCTTCCTTCTTCCCCAAATCCCACTTCTTCTCGGCCGATTCGCGACCCCGAAATCGCGATTTCTCCTGGCCAGAACTTCACGCGATGGTCAGCCATGTCCAAGCGAGCATCTTCCTCAACTTCGACTAGCATCAATAGCCGAGGGGCGGTACTCTGTTGGCACAAGAAGCCATGTGTGTTGAATACATTTGGAACCGAAGCGAACCCAGGAAGACAGTTCTATGGGTGTCCATTTTGGATGGTAAGGTGTTTAGATATGGGTTTTGAAATTGTCATTGATGTGGGTTCTAAGTTAAATGCTCGTATGGTGCAGGACGAGAAGAAGAACTGTCATTTTTTTAGGTGGGTGTGAATGAATGTCGATGAAGATAAGCACCATGACTCTGAAATTGGGTGTTCGACTTTGAATATTGAAGAAAGTTTGAGGCTAGCTGAGTGTAAGGCGGAAAGGAGGAAGAAGGAGAAGAAACTTTTGGCTGAAGAGCTATCAAGATGGATGAAGGCACATGAAATTATGCTAGCTGAAGGAAGGAGAGTTAATCATGAAATCCATGTAATTCGAGCTTTATTGATAGTGATTGTCGTACTGAACCTAATATTGGTTATTCTTATGTTGCATCACGTTATTATATGGTAGGAAATTAATCGACATTGGTATGAGAAGCAAAAGGTTTCTGAAAACGTAATTGTCATCCTAAATGTTGTGTAGAAGCAATTGGTATTTGTGTTCTTAATGTAGTTGTGTTCTTAATGCTTGTTACACTATATTGATTTAGAAAATGCCACACATTTGTCAATTAAGGCTGGCTACATAACTTGGTTTGTCTTTAGGGTACGTTTAAAATCAGGGATAAAATGTTGGAATTCAATTAATATGTTTTATAGGGTACGTGATTGTATTTGGTGCAGAAGACCACCTGAGTGGCAGGTAGCAGGTCCCGAATTTGGCATATGACACGAGTGGTTCTTGTAGATGTGGCACTATAGCATTGGTATTTTTAGATAGAGTGGATGCAATAGAAATTCTTCCATGCTCCGAGATCACCACGTCATTTTACTGACATGGTACTCTCAACTAATAAAAACAGCCACTTGGAAATTGAGTAATTAATAAAATACAGAAATGGAATTGACTCGCATTTAATTAGTTTCTCAATTAACTAGATTTATGCCCGGCCTGTTGGCCGGGATGTGTTTCGTTAATTATTATATTATTAGATATTTTTGACAAAATATAATCGTATATTTGATTTCAAAAATAGGTAATTACATCGTGAAATTAAGTCGGACCAGAAAATCAAAGAAATGACTTGTAGTCTGGTACAATAAAATGGTCTTTCTACCCATCAAATGGACTACCTTATTGTTCTGCCGGCCTACAAATTGCACACTAAAACCATTTTGGCTTGTGAAATAATGCACGAATACTTAAAATAACCAACTCTCAATCATTTCATATTAATATGGCTAAGTCGTCTATGACAAAAAAAAGGCGGCTAAGTCGATTATAATGTATAATAATAAACTTTTTTATGGTTGGATTAATAATAATTAATATATTAAAATTTATTATCTTATAATATACACTGTGAAATTTTTAGTGCATATAAAAATAGTGTCATTTGAACAACGAATTTGGCATTTTTAAAATTAATGAAAGTTTTCATAATTAGTATGATTATTTATGCATTTGAAATGGATGAGCTATATTTTAGATATTTGATATTAATATTACAAAACTCAACGGAAAAGGATTTTGCTAATCAGAATCCCGTGGAACAAAAAGTCTATTAATGGAAAGATAACATGTACTTAATGGGAAAAAGAAAACATATAAAATATAGGGTTCAAAATTGGAGAAAGCCCAATTAACTGCTCACCGCGGCACGCGCATTGGTTTTGGAAACGAGTTATGTTAGTAGGAAAAAAAAGGAAACAATGCATGTTGGCCATGTGTTCTCAAGCGCGGCCCATTCACAGCCCTTCTCTCCCACGCGGCACGCGCATTGGTTTTGGAAATCCAAACCCTAAATTCCATTTTCCCCTTCCGTTCTCCCCAATCCAGCTGCTCCCTCCTTTCCACCATAACCAAGATGAAACCCTAGCCGTCGTTCATTACACATTCCCCCTCCCATTGTTCTCAATCACTTCTGTTCTTTCGCCTTGAACCCAAAGGGCAAAAAAATCCTACCCACCTACCTCTTCATTCCTTCCTCTACTTGCCTCCAGGCTCTCGCTTCGTTGTGAGGGGTCTTCTTCTCTGGCGCGAAATGGGTGACGATTTGGAGATTGATGTCGGGGAGACAACTGCAAGGAGGAAGGTTCGTATTTTACTCAAATAGATTTTTGATCTTATTCTTGGTAGCTAATGAAGGCCTGACTCCAGTAGCCTAATCCCCTCGTTTGTTTTTGTTTTTGTTTTTTTGGTTTCCAGGGTGCGTTGGGCTAGAGGCATGGTACTGTGAGAATGAAAACATGTAAACTTGTAAGGACAGCGCAGAAGATCATCAGATGGAGTTCGGTTTTTCATAACGTTCGTTCTGTAAACTTGTAAGTATATCTGGCTTCGTAGCTTGTTGACACGGTTTGTATTAATTTGATTCCAAATCTCAGTTTTTCCCTCGTGTGTTAGCTAATAACGGAGTTTGGAGACTAGTTACCTAATCCAATCCATTTTATTGATCTTCTTTTATTTTTTATGAGGTTGTGTTGGCGGCAGTTCGGCGGCCAGTCCCAACATGTAGATGTGTCTACAAAGGGCGGAGAAGAACATCATATGTAGTTGGAGTGTTCATAATAAATATTGTGGAACCATATTCCATCTGGTGGTTCTTTTCCGCCCACTTGACTCCTACATTTTGGAAGAAACTCGCAAAGGCTGTAGGAGATTTGAAAGATTTGAGGTTGGTTTCGTTCTATTGTTGTTTCGTCTGTTGTTTCTTTGTTAGTCCGAATCCCTCAACTGAGAAAATTCATTGCTTGCAGAGTTGTGAAGGCCACTGCTGGATTCGGGAGATAGTTTATGTACCTCTGGTTCTATCACAATTTTGATGGTATCATTTTATTTCCTTCCAGTTTCAAATGTTCATTTGAGAACACATGTATATGCGAAATATTTGGTTGAGGCT